CGCGCGCGCACACACACACACACACACACACACATATGTATAAAGATGCCCCAAGTCATTGTGTTGGTTTTGACTTAGGTGTCTCATGAAGAATTCATCCTGGGCCATAATAAAAAGGCCCTGGGACCTGGTAAGAGGAAATATCATGTCCAATCCCGATCCCTTAAAAACTGATGGTTTCCCATCCAGATGCATCTTCTAAACACCCCAGTCCCGTGCCATCCCCAATCACATGTAGGTCGGTTAGGAAGTTGCTTTCTCAGCCAGATGAGGCTTCAGGAAGTCTAATCGCTTGCTAAGCTTGGGCCTACCCTTGCTCTTAAATGGTGAAGACTATTGTTCCCATCCTTTGCTAAAAAATATTCCAGGCTCATATGATTTGGAGACTTGGGCCTCCGTGATTAGGGAGTAGGTAGTAAAGATCTGAGGTCCACTGGGGTGATTACTGGGGGGCAGAGAGAAGTAGCAGAACATTTTAAGCCACTTCGATCTCCTGGTAGGGCAGTTGGAATTTGACCAGATGATGTTCCTTTCCGTTGTTCTTGGCTGATATTGTAGATTTGGGGGAAACAAACCAAACGTAATCCCTTAGTTCATGTCCTAACTGTGTGAAGTGCTGAAAACATCCAAGAGGAACAAGGAAGCATACTCATTAATGCACAGTGAAGTCATTTATGCTTATCTTGTCATCACAGCATTAAAGCCATTTTGTTACTAGATGATGTCTCGGCCCACTACTTTATAGAAGACAATAGACAGACTGACACACCCAATTCGAATCTTTGTTCTCTGAACCACAAGAAGATGCTTGGCTTGGGTTGAAAGGTAGAGATGGAAACCAAGGTTCCCCATAACTCACTTCCTCCAGATGTCTATCATTGATTGTGTCTGGGAGTGTAAAGGGAATTTCTCTCTTTTGTGCATCAGCTTCTCCAATTTTTAGAGTACTCAAGACTTGGTAAGCCAATGGCAAAGCTACTTTAGGATGTGAAGAGTTTTTTGCAGGCAGCTGCTCTGATTAATTCTCCTTCCACCTACCTGTGTTTTGTTCTGCTCTCAACTCAAGCTTGGGATCTCTGGTTTTCTTTTCCTTTTCTTTCTGGTTCTTGAACATTTCATTTATTTTCTAGAACATGCTGCCTATATTACCACTATAACTTTTGTTTGGTGTAATGGATGAAGAAAGGAATTCAGTGGGAGTGGGAGCTTCAGGGCATTTGGTCCACCATGCTGCTGCCACCTTCAATTTTCTACCCTTCTCGGTCACTTTGTTTTTTATCTATTTATTAAAAAAAATTTTAATGTGGACATTTTAGAAGTCTTTATTGAATTTGTTTCAATGTTGCTTCTGTTTTATGTTTTGGTTTTATGACCGTAAGTCATGTGATGTCTTAGCTTCTGGACCGGGCACTGAACCCATACCCCCTGCAGTGGAAGATGAAATCTTAACCATTGGGCCACCAGGGTTGTCCCTGTCACTCTGTTTTAACTTAACTTCTTGTAAAAAAAAACAAAACAGTATAATGAACTCTCATGAACATTATCCAATTTTGACAATCATCATTTTATTATTCATATTTCTGCTAATCACACCCTCCTGCATGCTGTTTGTTTGTTTTCTTTTTTGAGAATTTTAAGGCCAGTCCTTGACCTTTGATCATTCCTCCATAAGAACACTCATAAGAAACCTGCAATACTATTACCATGCGTTAATATCCAATACCCAGCCTCTGGAAACATTAGCTTTTTACATGTTGTATCCTGGATCTATTTGCTGATTCTTTCACCTTTCCCCCATAATTTCTCTCCATTCTTCAAGATGGTCTTGATTTTTCAGGCCTTTATGTCAGATGTAAGAGTTTTCCTGGTGGCTCAGTGGTAATCTGCTTGCCAAGGCAGGAGATGTGGGTTCAATCCCTGGGTCTGGAAGATCCCTGGAGAAGGGGATGGCAACCCACTCCAGTAGTCTTGCCTGGGAAATTCCGTGGACATCCCTGTAGGGCTGTCACTTTCAAGTCAGATATGAAGAGTGAATTTGGCTACTAAACTTTTTTAGTTTGCAAACTATATTTTTTGCTGCAGGATTTTAGGGGATGAGGTTCATTTTTTTTCCCCTTCAGACATCCAGCTGTCACCTTAGATAGCAATTTCACTGGCCCATGTTCTGATAATTGAATCTCATCCTTCTCTTTCTGACTGCTCCCACTTTGCAGGTGGGCGGTTATTTTTTCTCTGGGATATAAGTCTCGCTGATGGAATACTTTAATGGCAAAAATCTCACAGACTGTGACAGCAAAGATGTCTTAATTAGTGTTTGTTGAATCAGTAATGAATCTGTAGCCAGGGAGTTGTGTACCTCATTTGTGTATTTCATTACTGTTGTCCCCTGAACAGACTGAAGTCATAATAAAATTTTCACCTAAACAACTGATCTGAATTTTCATTTCTAAAGGTGATCATTTCCAGGAAACATGGTCTCTCTTAGATATATTTTTAGTTGTTACATGGGCTGTGCCAAGCTTGGTCTTGAAAACACCCCTTGGGTTAGAGGAATATTTGTCATATGTAGCAACTGAACTAAGGGTATGAGGGTTTTGTAGGAATGTGTGTGTGTGCATGTGTGGCAGAGGTTGTAGCATCCAGTTGCTCAACCAGGAGTTTAATATAAGTGTAGGTTGGGACTTCTTTGGCAGTCCAGTGGTTAAGACTTTGCGTTTCCACTGCAAGAGGCATGAATTCGATCCCTGATCATGGGAACTAAGATCCCACATGCTTCTCAGTGTGGCCAAAATTTTTTTTTAAATAAATTAAGTGTAGGGTTTTAAAAGAAATGTCTTTTTTATTTTCTGTTTTCTGTTAAGCTCAGTCCTTTTTCCCTAGAGGAAAAAATAAAAGCGCAATTAGACATAAGCAGTTGCATGCAGTTAATCTCAGGTTTCCACAAGCATCTTCAAATCCACTGGAAGCAATGCATTTTTGAGAAAGGAAGGAATAAGAGGCAAGAAGTCACCGTCCCCAGAGTGAAAAGCTTGATGCACGTGAATCGGACAGAGCCCTGTTTGTTTGGCAAATAGGAAGACCTTTCCTCAGATTTGCCTTCAGCTCTATGTTCTGGGCAAGCCTCTTATTTTCTAAAATAAGCGTAATGGTACTCACCTGGTAGGATTGTTTCCAAGATTAATGGAGGCATGGTGAATTGCTCAATAAATGCTAACATGGTTATCTAAAATTTTAGTGTTGGGTCCTAAACACTATGTGTTTGCTTCTGTGGTATTCTGTATTCTAGAGCTTGCCTTTGATGATCCCAACACTTCTAGACTTTCGGCTGCAATGGTATTTTTCAGTCATGCACAGAGTATTTCCATAGAGCAGGGGTCTGCAAACTGTGGGATCCAATGCTTGATGATCTAAGGTAGAGCTGATGTAATAATAATAGAAATAAAGTGCACAATAAATGTAATGCACTTGAATCATCCAAAAACCATTCCCTCCCCAACCCCGAGTCTGTGGTAAAACTGTCTTCCACAAAACCAGTCCCTGGTGTCAAAAAGATTGGAGACCACTGCCGTAGAGGATTAACTTGGTGCTAGTAAATCAATGTTATTTTATATTTAAAAGTCCATTTAGATGTTAATGCCCTTTTCCCTTAAATGGGTCTCAGTGGAAAGCCCTAACTTTAGGGGAGCAAATTTGCCTTGAGGGGGAAGGGTGATTCCTCACCACTAATGGAATAATTAATACGATGTGTTTAAGACTGAGAATGGAATGATTAAGAAAACCCTTGATCCGAGTGCTTGGAAATCCAGTCTAAATTTTCTGAAGAAGTGTTTGTGAGCTGAACTTGGTATTTGGTGGCCAACATTATCAACAAGACCAGGAGAAATGTGGGCCTGGTGAGACAGGACAGGAAATTACTACAGAAAGTTGATTTAAAAATAGAGAGTGAGGCAAGTTAACTGACCTACTGATTTTCCTCTTTAAGCGAAAAACCAGGGGCCCTAATCTCCCAGAAATCAGAATGTTATGACTTTTCTACACGGAGTGTAAGGCAGGAATGGACACGACCATGTACTTTCTATTACACATGACTCACTCTTCTTTTGAAGCTGGGTGTTCTCAGTACTTCTCCAGATGGTCTGTTCTGAGTGGATGGAGGATCCATTCTGAGGACGCAAGGATTTGAGGGCATGGGTGAGTGAGGTTAATAAAGATAGAATCCGGAGAACTTGTTTAAGAGAGAGACAGAATGAGAACCAGGAAAGAAGAGCTGATATTTCTGTTAGGTGTGATGGTGGCTGTACGGTCATAGTTTTGTGAGGGTGATAACACAGATGGCTCTGGATTTCTTGCAGCATTGTGGGATGGAAGCAATGTCCAAGCTTTTAAGAGACGTGTGCAGGGATAAAATTTCATAATGCCTTAGATTTGCTTTTAAAAATATGAAGACCAAAACTGTGACAGTCATTTTGTGTAGAAGGTGTGGTTAGCAGCAGCCCCTCTGCCTGTGAGGGATATGAGAAATAGTAGAAAAACAAGCATGTTGTGTTTTAGCAAAGGGAAAGAGCAATAACGTGATTTGAAAATTTTAAATATATATGTTTTTATTTTTAGGATCAGGTGCCTTTGCTAAAGCTCTCTGGGCTCTGTTGCTCCTCAGTGAAAAGCAGAAAATATTTAATTGGATGGAGAGACCCCTTTCTTTGTGTCCTGCCTGCCAGTCTGGAAGGAGAAAAGCTGTTACAGTATAGGTTCCTCAACAGGACCATAAAGGGGATCCCTGCATGGTTATTCCTAGTGACTGGTTGTGGTTAAATGAGACATGTGGTTCATCAAAAATTGAAAAATGCCGCTCCCATCCTCCCCTCTTTCCTTCCCCTCCTGTGGCCTCTGTGTTTCTCAGAATGCAGGGAATACACACTCTTTCCACAAGCCCCCGTGCCAACTGCAGGGGATGGAAAAACTCCTTTATTCAACAAACATTTTAAAGCACTCACTATGTATGAGATAGAAGGGCCCTATGCTTTCACACTCGGCTGGTGCCATCTTGAAATTCTTAATAATTTTTGAACAAGGGGCTCTGCGTTTTCATTTTGCACTGGGTTCTGCAGATTGCGTAGCCAGCCCTGAGTGGTGAACAAAACAGACGTGCATTGTTCTCATGTAGCTCATTTTTCTAGGATTAGATTTTGGTCCCGGCCTGGGTGGGGTAGGGTATGTAGTCCCCAGGGAGAAGAAGCAGCTATATAAACAAGTCCAGCGGAGCAGGGCTGGGGGAGGGGAAGGAAGAAGGAGGGCGGCGGAGATAGTCCCTGGGGGTGGGGGTGGGGGGCAAGGATAGCTTTAAAGGAAGAGGGAGAGGTTTGCTTGCAGAAACGTGTGTGGGTGGGAGAAGCTCGGGCTTCTGGGAAAAGGCTACGGAGATGCTGATGGGAAGTGCTCCTGTGTGCCCTTGGCAAGGCTAAGTTCACGGTCTGATGGATGCGTTGTGGTGAGAGAAAGAGAGAGACCAGCAAAGGGCTCAATCCTAGAAGAACTTCCCTCCATGATAAGGCACTGAAGCTTCATCCTTGGGTCACTGGTTCTCAACACTTGTCTACTCATTAAAACTGCTTGGGAGACTTTGAACATTATACCAAGCTCCCACTTCCATTAAATCAGAATTTTAAGGACTAAGGCAAAGGCGTTGATCCTTTAGAGCAACACAGGTGAATCTAATGTTTAGCCAGGATTAGAGACAACAGATTTTCACAGAGGGGCATCACGATGTAGGATATCACACTGATAAAACTGTTCGGGGAGGACTTGGTCATAGCTGAATTTTAGAAAGATCTACAGTAGCCGGAGGAAGAGTTCGAGAGCCAGGGTCAGAAGGGAACACCAGTATTGAATGCCTGGTTTCTGAAGCTACTTTCAACAGGACTGAGTGGCCAGTATGATACAACAATGCATGCTGAGGTTTAATATTCAAGTCAAACAATAACCTTTTCGTACCTCCCAGTAGTCTAAAGGAAGACATGGATCCATCAGGTTTTTTGGATCATCAGTTGTACTTCTCCAGAGATGAAGCCAGCTGGTTTCATAGATGACATCTCTGTGGAAGCACTGTGTAGACAATGGCTAGGGAAAATTACAGGTTTTGTGTTTGTTAGTCTTTAGGACAGTGTAACCAAAAAGTAATGATGCTGTATGATTCTTTTCAGCTCACCCCAAGATGGAGAGGACATGGGTCACTGAAATGAAATGCTCACCTCACCGGCATATGAGGTGACATCTCTGTTCTCATCCTTTATTTTTTAACCCAAATAACAAATGGATCTGTTTATTCCTAGCTATCCCACACCCCCTGGATGGTTATGTTGTTGTACAATCTGTGCATGTACAGCTGGGTGATTTTATGAATGTTGTGCCAGTACACGTCTTGGGTTTAGTAAAACAACCCTCCCTTCGAGGCAGACACATTATGAGCGGAGCACTGTCTCAGGGTGTGGCGTTTCCTGCCACTCTTTGTCTTTCTTTTTACGAGAAAATATTTTTAAAACCTAACAAGTATATTTTGACTACCCATTAGCAGTTTCAAATTTTTAGCAAAATGCTAACCATCCATCAGGTTGAAACAATTTAAGCATTGAATCACAAAAACAGATTAGATGAAAACCAATTTAACTTTAAAGGAAAGTTTACCCGAGAGGCCCTGGAGAAAATTACTGGTAGAGGAATTTTGGAAATGGAAAAGTTTTAAGTCACTGTGGTTGGACTTACCCCAGGAATAAAGTTGAGTGCACATCATCTACCTGGTATAATTTGTGATGGAGTACATTTTTGACTCCATCACAGTTTGAGCCCAGACTCAAACTCTGATCATTTCCTTCCCTTTTCTAACCTTACCTTCTATTTACGAAGGAGCGTTCTTCCCATATCAGGCCAGATCATACTCCCCTTGCATGTATGGAGGTTGGGACTTTAAAGGATCAAAACTTGCTCAGGGTTTTAGGGAATTAGAATATGCAGAAGTAGGACTTCTCTGGTGATCTAGTGTCTAAGACTCTGTACTCCCAAGGCACGGGACCTGGGTTCGATCCGTGGTCAGGGAACTAGATCCCACATGCTGCAACTAAGACCTGGTGTAGCCAAATAAATAAATAAATATTGGGAAAAAAAGAAAAAAGAATCTCCTTCCTTTAAAAAACAATATGCAGAAGTAGGAGAGACTTCAGAGGTGAGTTCCAAGGCTGACTTTCTCATGTTGGAGAGTAAGAAAAAGCCAAATGTTATAGAATTTATTAACCCCAAGAACATTAGACTTTTATTATAATAAATAGCCACACGTATTTGAAGGTGGTAACAGTTCCCATTGGGACAGGCGTATTATATGGGAGGTAGAAAGAATTTCCAAATTATAGTGGAAGCGTAGAGTTCAGGGTATAGGTGCTAGTGTGGGTTATTGAATTATTATCTGCTGAGATATAAAGATCATCTGATTGAGAAAAGGACTTCTTTCCTCTCTTGATTGATGATGTCAAAGCCTTGGCCATTGTCCGTGATGAATCACCACCCACATTTAGCAAATGCCCACACATGCTGAGGTGACTTCCAGGCAGAAAGGGCACCTCGTGGCTAATTGAGAACATTGACTGTTGGTAAAGAAATCCTCAAAGAGGAAGATGGAAGGTACACTGCCGTGGGGCTCCTCAAATAAATATAACTCCTTTTGGTAGCGTTTGCCACATTTTTAAGGAAGTGATCGTTCTAAAATGTCCTCCCTGCTGCAAGCATTTCTTACAGATGAGTTTGTGTGTGTAAAGGATTTCCCTCTGAGAACCGGAAGCTCTGTCAAGTCATTTTGTGTCCAAGAAGGAACCATCTAGAAGGTGGAGGTGAGCCTGTCCGTTGCCAGAAGGACGAGCCAGGTACAGTGTCAGGTGACCTTCTCGGCGGGCACATGCTCACCTCCATTGTGGATTCGTGCAGCCTTCTTTGAATGAAGAATTGCTCAGTTGAGAGGATTTAAATTTTGACTGAATCATGGTGGGGGGAATAAAAGTACTATGCCAAGAACAGCATTTTCTTTTTTTTTTTTTTCCCCTGACAATGAATACTAGTTTGATAATCAGCCATGACAGAGAGCTTCCTCAAGCAGCCTCTGGAGGGGATTTTTCCATCTGATTCTAAATTATATTCTTTATCAGAGTAGAAGAGAAGGCTTGAGACAGCCCTTGGCACCCAATCAAGTGGGCAAGGCTATGCCCTTGTCTTGATTTTGACCTGCCAAAAGGCTATTATTGGGTCAGCGGTGGATCTGAGGGCCTGTGTTCTTTGTCCTAATGTTTGTGAATGATATGCATTATGCATAATATGATTATGATCGCTGAGCTAAGAATTCTTCTCCAGCTCTTTTTGAAATGTCATCAGATTCTAAGTGCTTTCCTAGTCTTTCGTGCAGATACTGGTGGTTTTCTTAGATGACCAATGGGCATACAGGTGATGAGACAGTCCGTGTCGTGGAGCCATATTGTCTGTGCTGTCCTCTGCCCCTGTTTGCTCCTCGATCCAGGGCTTGTCAGAGTTGATTAAGCAAGTGAAGTGTAATTTGTCAGATTCCAGAAAAGAAAATGGAAAACTATGCTCGTGTGCTTCAGTGGCTGAGTCCCTGGTCTGGGGACAGAGTAAGCACCTCCATGAGGTGGGTTAGCTTGGTGGTGAAGCTCATAGCCTTTGGCACCATATCAGTTTTGACACAGATGGACCTTGGCGTAACACAAACCTGAGTTTGATCACCAGCTCCCCACTCACTATTATGTGCATGCTCAGTCACATCTAACTCTTTGTGGCCTGATGGACTGTAGCCCTTTAGGCTCCTCTGTCCATGGGATTATTCTGAATTTGGGATTATCCTGAAATTATTCACGGAGTGGGGAGCCATTTCCTCCTCCCAGGGATCGAACCTGTGTCTCCTATGACTCCTGCATTGGCAGGTGGATTCTTTACCACTGAGCCACCAGGGAAGCCTTACTATTACTATGTGGCCCTGGGCAAATTACTTAGCTTCCCTGGCCCCTATTTCTCCACCCAGAAAAATGGGTTAATAACGCCTAATTTGTGGGGTGCCATGAGCACTGGCTGGAATAATGTTGAAATGAGTCTAGTGACATGTGCTTGTGTTTTAAACATTCTAATTCCTTTTATAAGAGGGGAGCTGAGCAGTGGGGTCCTTGAGCAGGGTTTGATCAGTCAGCACTTATGTTCATTCTTGCCTCCCTCCGGAATGCCTCTCCTTACTACAGAGATTAGAAAACCCCAAGCTGCCACATTTCCCAGACTCTCTTTTAGCTAGAAGATTGTTTCATTTCATGAGATCTGTGTATACGTTGTTTGCAAGGAGGAGATGAGATAGTGGCCATTTTTCAGGCTGTTTTTGGCTATTTTCTGCAGGCAAGCAAGATCACGAAAATTTCTGGAATACTTGCCCAGCTCTGTAGATGATGAGAAGCAATGACTTTCTGATCCTGGCATTCAGATCCCTGTTTCTTCACCCCTGGATGCAGTTTTGATGACTTTCTTGAACTCCACACACTCTGGGGCAGCCTCGCAAGTCCCCAGTGTCTTGATTTCAGCACAAGGAGCATCGTCCTAGTCATTGGCTCCTTGGAATTATGGGAGTACCCCGAGACTCATCCACGAGCCCCCTTCTCTTGTCTTTCCACCACTGTCCTAATTCAGTCCCTTTGTGTTTACAATTGAATGGAGTATGTTTCAAACACCAGATCCTAATTTGTACAGTAAATGGGTCCCATGGGAAGAATGAAGAAAGGGACCATATAGAAGGAAAGAGAGTAGTGAGAAGGAGAAGGTGCAAAGGTGCGGAGAAGGAAGAGATACCTTTAAATGATGGCTAAGGTAGCACTGAGAATTGCTTACAGTCCAGATAAGCATGGAACACTCAAGAAGAGAGGAACAAAATTACTGTGAGGTCTGGGTTTAAGATCTGCTATTTAAAAAAGAAAACCCTGCTATTAAGTGGACATCAAGGATTACATGGATCCCATAGGAGCTTTTCTGATAGCTCAGTTGGTAAAGAATCTGCCTGCAGCGCAGGAGACCCTAGTTCGATTCCTGGGTCTGGAAGATCCCCTGGAGAAGAGATAGGCTACTCACTCCAGTATTCTTGGACTTCCCTTGTGGCTCAGCTGGTAAAGAATCCGCCTGCAATGCGGGAGACCTGGGTTCAATCTCTGGGTTGGGAAGATCCCCTGGAGAAGGGAAAGGCTACCAACTCCTGTATTCTGGCCTGGAGAATTCCATGGACTGTACAGTCCCTGGGGTTGCAAAGAGTCAACCATGACTGAGCGACTTTCACTTTTCACTTTCTATGGGAACTTGAACCAACTCCAGTTGCTTGGTCATCAAGTTTGTATAAACAGTGTAAGGGCACGAAACCTCTCTTTGATGAAAGCGCTTGCACAATATAAGACATCTATTGGCCTCTTACTCTAACCAGGGACATGTAAGAAATAGCTAGCCCGTTTCAGAGAATTATCCCATACATGAATAATGAAGTTTGATGGGAAAGGATTCTTTTGGCTGCCATCTTGATTGAACTGAAAATATACCGAATCCATAAAAGCATCCCTGGGCTGGGAAGTCACTACTTAGTGGTACTTTCCTACCTGAGGCTTGTTGATTAAGCTGCTCTCTCCCCTGAGGCTGTGTTCCCATTTCAGAGGCTGATCTGTGTAAAGGGGATTAAGTATTACAGGAGCATTCTAGGCTATTAAGCATAACACTGTTCTGATGATGTTTGCATTCAACTGTGGCTTAGAATAATCATGGAGATAAGAGCCATTAAGAAAAGTCTCTCATTAGCACATTTATCCACAGGTGTTCTTGAGATAACAATTCGTAGTAAAATATAGCCGGGTTCCTGGTTTTGGGCTAACATTAGTTTATCAGCAAGGGTGTTGTGAAAGTGGCACTTGGATGTAAAGAAAGCAATCATTTCCCTAGCAATGTGCTGTGGGTAGCAAACTGGGACCATTCTGTCTCTTCTCCAAGATACTGGCTCCAGTTTCCCAAAAGGTTTGATGTGCCCGACCTTATCAATAGTCACGGAAGAGGTAATGAGGCTCCAGGTATTTTGTGGCAGTTGGAATCTTTTTGGAAAAACTTTCCATACCCATCCTGTTGGAATATCATCACCAGAGAACACAGACAGACGGCAGGACATCAGTACCAGAGACGATAAAGCTACATGGATTTACTGATGTGGTAAATTACAAATGGCTACAAATTCTTTGCAGGTCCCTCCATCAGGAGATGAAATCTAAGGACTTTCCTGGTGGGCCAGTGTCTTAAGACTCCATGCTTCCAATGTGGTAGGTCTCAGGTTCTATCCCTGATCAGGGAAATAGATCCCACATGCCACAAATAAAGATCCTGCATGCTGTGACAAAGGCCTGGTGCAGCCAAACAAAACAAAACTTTTTTTAAAAAAGAGATGAAATCTATCTCCACCCCTTCCTGCTGGACTGGCCTTGTAACTTGCTTTGACTAATGGAATATGGGAGAGATGATGTATGATTTCCAAGCCTAGGCCACAAGAGATCTTGTCCCTTCTCTTCTTGTTCCGGTGGAAGGCTTTCACTGCTCTGAGCCCAGGCTGGCCCACTAGAGGACCAAACTATGTAGAACAGAGGTGACACATCCTACCTGAGGCTCCCTAGGTCAACTAGCCTCCGGCTGCCCCACCAGGACTGCAGGTTCACTGAGTGACTCACTGATATGACCTGCATTGTGAGAGGCCTCTTACAATCCAGCCTCATATACTGGTTTACCTGTCTCCTACAGGAGTTTTGTTGTTCAGTCACTCAGTCATGTCCAACTCTTTCAGACCTCATGGACTGCAGCATGCCAGGCTCCCCTGTCCTTCAGTATCTCCTGGAGTTTGCTCAGATGCATGTCCATTGAGTCAGTGATGCCATTCAACCATCTCATCCTCTGTCACCCCCTTTTCCTCTTGCCCTCAATCTTTCCCAGCATCAGGGTCTTTTCCAATGGGTCAGCTCTTTGCGTCAGGCCAAAGTATTGGAGCTTCAGCTTCAGCATCAGTCCTTCCAATGAATATTCAGGGTTGATTTCTTTTAGGATTGACTGGTTTGATCTCCTTACAGTCCAAGGGACTGCAAGAGTCTTCTCCAGCATCACAGTTCAAAAGCATCAATTCTTCAGCACTCGGTCTTCTTTATGGTTCAACTCTCACATCCATACATGACTACTGGAGAAATCCGTAGCTTTGACTATACAGACCTTTGTCAGCCAAGTGACATCTCTGCTTTTTAACAAGCTGTCAAGGTTTGTCATAGCGTTCCTTCCAAGGAGAAAGTGTCTCATACAGGAGTGCACACCAGCATTGCTAGGAGTTACCTGTCTTTTTCTCAGTATGTTTCTGGCTGCTTTCCTGGAAATACACCACATCCAAGAACCAGAAGCTGAAACCAGTTTTGCTGAAACTGAAACTCCAGTACTTTGGCCAGCTGATGTGAAGAACCAACTCATTGGAAAAGACCCTGATGCTGGGAAAGATTGAAGGCAGGAGGAGAAGGGGACAACAGAGGATGAAATAGTTGGATGGCATCACTGACGCAATGGACATGAGTTTGAGTAGGCTCCCTGAGTTGGTGATGCACAGGCATGCTGCAGTTCATGGGGTTGCAGTTCAGTCGGTTGCAAAGACTGAGTGACTGACCTGAACTGAACTGGAGGGCCAGCAATACTCCGAGTCTCAGGAGAGTGATATTTCACGTGGAGTCCACAGGAAGCTCATCGACTGTTGGTTTTAAGGGCCTTCACCCTTGCTGATGGAGCAGTGCTGTGGGGGTGAAGGGGTCTTGCGTTGTGTTTAGGGTGCACCTGAGCACAGTTTAGATGGACTTACTTCTTTCAGGCTTTGTTGATTGCACTTCCATTTCTCCACCTCACAGTGACAGTTCAAAGAATTTTGGAGTCTTGGACATCTTTGAAAATGCGTTCTCTGCACCCTTTCCCAAGGAAAGAAATGCACATAGTTACTTTCAAAACAAAAATTTTGCTTACAGTTTGTAGGGGTGAGGAGAGGGGAGGGGATGGATGTAGGAGGAACCCCAGGGAGTTAAAATAGCAGGATTAGTGTAATGGGTTTCTCGGTTTAAAAAAAGTCAGAAAGTTCCATTGGAATTAACTTCTTAAATTCCCTCCATTGCTTAAAAAAAAAATCCTTTGGATTGTAAATGAAGTCTTTATCAATCAAGTTAGTCAACACAATGTGGGCTTTTTGAGAGCAAAATGAGGGACTGCAAGCTATCATCAAACACAAAGGAAAGCCCAGGGTGTATCCTGCCTGATTCTTTTAGAAAAGAGGGAAAATGGCTATTTCTGGCTGTGGGGAAGAGCTTTTCCATTCATCATGAAATTGAAACAGAGAGGTCTGAGGCTTTTGGGGGTAGGAGGGAGGTGGGTATCAGTCTCACTAAGACTGTTGGGTTTCTCCAAGAATAAGAAGTGGCAGGAACATCTCAGAACTCAGATCTCCCCACTCTGAGAATCCATTCCAGGTCTCTGAGGCGCTCTGCGTAATCTGGGCTCCCATAGGCAAGGAGTCCAGCCTGTGTAGTGGTAGGTGGTGTGTGCTGAGTGGCAGAACTAACCCCTTTGCTCTCCCCTAAATCCTTGCTAGCAAAGGGTAGTAGAAGAGGGAATAATTTGTACTAATAATTTTAAATAATAATGTACTAATAATTACCAAAGTAATTTTTATTTGTACTTACACTTAAGAACCAATCTGTTTTTAAAAATGTTATCCCAGCTAAAGAGGAATTTGAGGTCAAGAATAAAATTCTCTTGTTTTTCTTGTTGTTTAGTCACTCAGTCATGTCCAACTCTTTTTCAACCCCCTGGACTGCAGCCCACCAGGCTCCTCTGCCCATGGGATTTCCAGGCAAGAATACTGGAGTGGGTTGCCGTTTCCTTCTCCAGGGGATCTTCCCAACCCAGGGATAGAATCGGAGTCTCCTGCATTGGTAGGCAGATTCTTTACCACTGAGCTAGCTGGGAAGCCCTTTAAAATTAATTCAAATAGCTACACAACAATTCCATTTACCTTCTTTCATGTTAAATGATAAACTGAGGCATATTAAGAATTTCGAAAGTTTATTTGAGGAAACATCAATTCCAGTCTGTTTGGTACCAAACCAGAAGTGGTTAGGAGACCTTATTTGGCAAAGCCTGGTTGGCTGTTTGTGATTGGTTGTCCTCAGGTTTCAATTTCTCTACCTTGAGGTGTTCATAAGATCAGGTTTTGGTTTGCTTGCTTAGGTAGCCAAGACATTAGAACCACCTCTGTCTAACAGCATCTTTGTTCAATGAATTTAGCACTCTGCTAAACTGTTCTGGGTTTCTTTAATACATAAGAGCTTTAGAAAATACTTTTCCTCATGTCCCTGTTGGAGACTGAATTATGAGCCAACTTCTGAGAGGTGCTACTTTAACAAAATACCTGGAGAGAGTCAGTCTTTAAGCAAACTGACAGTTCTTGACACTAGTGAACCTAGTTGATTATAGTATGTTTGCTTTCAGATAGCATCTAAAATTAGAAGCAGATTCTCCACTAGAGGCTGAGTAAAGGGACATTTGGACAAATCTGATGCTAATCAAGCAGCTCTTCCAGGATGATTCCAGTTGGTTTAGACTTTCCCCACCACTTCTATAACCTGAACATTTGTCTATGTCTGTACATTTAAAAAATCTAGGGAACCTTCAAATCCAAAGACAGTCTTCTATAACTACTTTGGACTTCAAAACTCTTGAAGAAAATGGCTACTTTAAAAAAATTCTTGGAATTGGTCATAAAGTCTTAGAATTTGAAATGGACACACAGCCCTTATTCGTATGTGCACTTATGACCTGAATAATACACTTTTCATGAGGTATCGGATACATAGGAAGTGGCTGACAAAGATTATGAAAATCAATGGTAATAACAACCAGACAAAAATTCTTAAACATAAAAAAAAAAACATCAGAATGACTTAAAGCCTTTCAAATATACTAGACAAGTCATTTTCATTTTTAGAAAAATAAAAGAAAAAAATTTTAGTGATAAATTACATGAGCTAGATTGATGCAAATTTAGACATTCCAGGAATGCAAACGACTTAATTCTTAGTAATTCATTTGACTTAAAAAGTTATTTTCTCTATTTCTGTATTGGAAAGTCCAAAAAGAATCCAGGACATAGTGAAAGCTCCTTTTTTTAAAAGCATTTTGAGTTGAGCATTTTCTATGCCTGTGTGTTAGAAAATCAAACAGCATAGGGTTTAGAAGGGATATGCTTGAGTTAGGAAGACCCTCTCCTGGATCATGTTTTAGGCCAATGCAGGTTCAATCCCTGGGTTGGAGTGACCCCCTAGAGGAGAACATGGCAACCCACTCTAGTATTCTCGCTTGGAGAATCCCACTCACACATTGGTCGCAGTCCATAGGGTGCAAAGAGTTGGACACGACTGAAGCAACTTAGCACACCATACAGGTACATTTCCTGCTAGCAAGGGGCAAATCTTTAACTACTCCAGTTTAATGTCCACTATAGCCTGGAGGTTATGAGAAAATTCCTGGTCCAAGGCTGTTTCTGTTGTAGCGCACCATCAGTTCAGTTCAGTTCAGTTCAGTCCTCAGTCGTGTCTGTAAGTGTCTTTTAATTTCACGGCTGCAATCACTATCTGCATTTATTTTGGAGCCCCCCAAAATAAAGTCTGACACTGTTTCCACTATTTCCCCATCTATTTCCCATGAAGTGATGGGACCGAATGCCATGATCTTAGTTTTCTGAATGTTGACCTTTAAGCCAACTTTTTCACTCTCCTCTTTCACGTTCATCAAGAGGCTTTTTAGTCCCTCTTCACTCTCTGCCATAAGGGTGATGTCATCTGCATATCTGAGGTTATTGATATTTCTCCTGGCCATCTTGATTCCAGCTTGTGCTTCTTCCAGCCCAGCGTTTCTCATGACGTGCTCTGCATATAAGTTAAATAAGCAGGGTGACAATATACAGCTTTAACGTACTCCTTTTCCTATTTGGAACCAGTCTGTTGTTCCATGTCCAGTTCTAACTGTTGCTTCCTGACCTGCATATAGGTTTCTCAAGAGGTAGGTCAGGTGGTCTGGTATTCCCATTTCTTTCAGAATTTTCCATAGTTTATTGTGATCCACACAGTCAAAGGCTTTGGCATAGTCATAGGCAAGGGAAAAAAAGCTTTTTCCTACGTCCATCTTAGGTTCTCAGGCCCTATAATTTAACTAACAAAAACAGATTAACCAGAGAAGAATAAACAGAAGTTTATTAACAACTGCATTGAACATACACATGGGGGTACTCAATAGGGGTGGTTAGAATTGTGCTTATACAGCACCTTCAAAGGACAATAAGGTTTTAGAGAAGTGACAAGTCAAAGGAAAAGGACTCTGAGTTTCTAGGGTTGGCAAATCATAGGAAGGCAAATATATGGTGGAAGGAAAGGAAGATAAGGCAAGTTTTAGCAATGTTTTTCATGTAGATTCCTCTAGACTGATCAGGGTCTAGAGGTGTCTCTGATGACTAACTTCTGTCTTTCCCAGGAGACAGCTTCCCTAGTGGCTTAGATGGGAAAGAATCTGCCTGTGATGCAGGAGACCTGGGAAGCCATGAGGCATGGTGAGAAAAAAAAAATATCACATGTTAACCCTCATTCATATGCTGACCTCTAGTGTGACCTTGGACAGGTCGGTTTCTCTCTCAGAGGCTCAGTTTCCTCAACTTAAAATGAAGATATAAATAATGTCTACAGTATTAACAAATAATAAATAAATGGGATAATGTCTCTGAAAATGCTTTCTAAACCATTACTCCTGTACAAGTAATAGCCTTACTGATTTTTTTTTTTATTTTGGTAGAGAGGTAGAGGAAATTTGGAGAGAAGGATATAGATAAATTTTCATGTGTGTGTACATGTATGTGTGTATATGCCTGTATTCATGAGTTTATAAAATATACACAAAGTAATAGTTTGTGCAGTTTTTATTAGTAAGTAAAAATAGTCACTGTAGTTGTGACTATTGATCTCTATTCTTTCTAGCAGTAATTAGATTGTAGGGCCTTACGTCTGTTCAAATCATGGAATGTTAGAAATGTGCCTTTCAAATAACTATACGACCCTAAGTTATTTTTAGCTTTATTGGAAAATACTTTCTCCTTCTTCCATCCTTTTCTTTTCAGTTATTGCTCAGTCCTTCCAAACCCCTAATGTCAGGTAATTGCTCTTATTCTGGTACTGGTAGATGCTACTGATTCATAGGGAAAGACTTTGATCTGAACCACCATGGAGTAAATAACCATCCAAGTTGTGGCTTCCAATTTTAGTTACTTTCAGCTTGTGCATTTGGATGAATCACTACACTTAAGTTTAACCCTATGAAAGTTGGTTGAGGAATGTTTTCATCATGTTTATAGAATACATGACTGAGTGTTCTTAGAAAATCTATTTTGGACTGTTGCCCAGCTACATTTACATTGCTGCTTGAAAGAATTCCTCTTCTCAGATGGTCTGATGTATTCATGGCATCTGGAGGAATATGGTTTTTGAAAGCTCTTGGATCCTCTGATTTTCACAGACAGTAGTGTGTGTTTCCTACTTGTGCCCAGTAAATGTAGGAAGCTGGGGAAAATCCTAGGTTTTATAATTTGGCACTGGTGTGCTGGTGAACCAATGTCCCCGCCCCCAATATCCATTATATGTCAGTTTCCCTGATGCAACTACTTCCAACATGGCCAACTGCAGGATATCATCAGGTTAACCATAGTCTCTCTAGAGCAGCTACAAGCTGTCTCCAGTCCACCACTGAGACCATAAAATTTAGTTAGTCATCACTTTTCTTAAAGGAAAGGCAAGATGAAGAGGAGTGGAGACAGTGGCTGGTTTTGGTCTGAGCTCTTTGGCATAGGTATAAGAAAGACGTATGAGTCATTCTT